AGGGCAGCATCGCCGGTGTATCCAGTATGAGTGAGAGTGAAAGGCTTGTAATAGCTCTCCTCCCTGAGGGGCTGAAGACAACAAGGAAACCAAACAGAAGCTGATGCTGTCACAGAGCAGAGGCAGAGGAGGTGAGGGGGGTGGGAGGAGGGGGCTTATCGCGCCCCTTTGCCATTCTGCTCCTTTACAACTTTACAAAATAGCCTTTTAATTTGCTGCAGTGTCTGGGGTGTCTGAATTGTGCCTACATCAATCACCATCATCACTGGGGCCGTGGGCACTCTAGTCCCTTGGGCCCTCTCACTGAACAGCCCCTCAGGCAGAACACCCTCTGTCCCCTTCATATGGGGTACGTTTCCCCTTCTGTGTGTCCCTTCCCTTCTCTTGCTCCCCTACTCCTCCTCACACCTCGTAGTCACTCATGCAAACAACGTGATACCGCCTTAACCCCAGCGCTCGCTGCACTTGACACTATCATTTTAACAGCTCTTGATAAGTATTGTGCATGGAATGTAAGTCACGCTGCTTCTGTCCAGCCTTGAAGCAGTGCTTTCTATATTCTAGCAGAAAAGACCCATGATCAGCAGGATTGATTTTTTGACTGATTTCCACAATAGCTCTTTGATTATACACAAGGGAGTTTTTACATTAACTTAATACAGACGTCTCTCTCTGGGCGGCTATACTTTGGAGGAATAATCACAGATCCCTCTTGTTAACTATTGGTACTGCTATAATGATAACAGTGTCAGTGAAAACCATCACTAATATTAATTCATAGGTGTTAGACTGAAATCCCTGATATGATTTGGCGGGTCAGTGTACAGGTGGTCTGCATGGATTACAGTAGTGTGTGTTTTAGTGTATGGTATGGAGGAGCTACCTTTCTGGCAGAGTGTACATTTTGTTGCCTCTAAACTTGACCACCATATTCACCTTTTGATGCTATTGAATAAATGGGTAATAACCCAGTAATTAAAAGTTGAGGAATTGCTTTCTTCAAGCCCACACTGTATGACAGTATCCCTGTATTCCCCTTCCATTTATCTATGCCTGTATTATGCTAATGTGGGCTGTTCAAAGACAGGAGCTGCGTGTTGTATGCTGAGCACTGCAAATGTCACGCCTAGCTGTTCCACTTCTCAGCTGTAAAAAAAAATATGAAGGCAAGAGGTCAGTGTTGTTTCTGAACAGAAAAGGTGTAGGTGGTATGTTCCTTGGCCAGAAATTCAGATTAAACTGTGCATAACATCAGTCACTGCTTTACCACACATACTCACTTTATCAGGTACACCTATAGCTAAAAACTAATGCAGCCTGATATAACGGCCCTGCAATAAATCCTTCACGGAGGTTGTAATGTTCAGTTTTTGTCCAAACTGTTTCAGCAAGATGTTTCATTTTGGAGGCTGGAGTTTGTGATGCTATTGAATCATATTGTGTTATACTGAAGTGTCCCTGATATATATAAATGATAAACTAAATATTAGAAACAACCCACAGTGTTACACAACACATGTGGGTAAGTAAGTCTTTATTGGATTAACCCTTTAATGGTAAAAAAAAAAAAAAGCTATGTAAATGTTATTGTTAATGTTGTTTTTTAAAGATGAATACATTTTCTTAAAGCAAGGTCAGACATGCTTATCTGTGTTCCGGGGTTGAATGATGGATCATATTTTTTTGTATTCCTCAAATGATTGCTGACTTGTATTCAAACACAAGACAACTAAGGATTTCCTAAATGATACGCTTCAATTTCAATGATTGTCCTCTGAAAGTAAACTTAAAAATCTAAGTAAAATTTTAAAAATATGAAAACTCAAAACAGGCCACATGTTAGGAGAGCTTTTTTCTGCCAGTAACTTCCTGGAAAGAAGCCTTGATAAAGAAACAATAGTGCCTCCTTGATTATTTTTTTTTTTGCCTAACGCCCAACCGAGATGCTCACTCGGGCTGAGCTAAATACAATTGAATTTTTTTTAACAAGATATCAGTAGAGAAGACTATTAAAGGAAGTGAAACTGGGGACCATTACATCTTTAATTTTAAACTGATAGGATGATATCAGGGAGACTGACAAAGAGTTTCCTTTAATTTTGCCATGTGTAATCTTCATCCTAGTAGTCTTTACGCAGTTATGTTATTACTTTCCTTAAGTAAGACTCTGATTGAACAATGGGGACTCACGTTAAGCTGCATCCAGCATACAGGGACTGAATAGGTAAAGAGCATCCTGTTTCACAGTAGGGAGCTCTGGCTGCCAGATGTATTTGTCATGTCATACTGTGTGTTGCCAGGTATTTTCCTCCTCCCTTTAACTTTCCCATTCCACCACTGGCTAATCACCTTTAATTGACTTTAATTAGCATCTAGTAATTAATTTTGTTTTCTACAAATTATTTGTATGAATGGTCCCAGTGGGTGGCCAGTTCATCTCGTTAGGGCCAATTAGCTGCAATTAACAAACACTAATGACATGCTTTTTTCCTTCCAAAACAAACAGTGCGCACCCTGCCAGATTCCAGTGCTGCACAGAGACCTCTTGTGTGTTGGAGTGGTTGCAGGGGGCCAGCTCACTGGGCAAGCCTTCTAATCAACACCTCTAATGAAGAAACGCAAACCCAGAAGAGGCGCGTATCCACCCAACTCACCCTTAGGATATCACAAAGATGCTTGCTTTCCCCTCGGGTCTTTTCATTGTCACCCACTGTCACATTTAGGCGAATGAGGTCAGGTTTGAGGGACAGAATGTCTGAAACATTTACTCTTATTATTATTATTAGTGTTACATTTATTGCTGGACAGTTTCTGTAGCTGAATGCTTGGTTTTGCTCTCATTCAAACATACTTCAAACAGAGAGATACAAAAAGAAAAGAATAAAGAATTTCCCTCATTATTCAGTTGTAGATCAGAAACTGCCTGCTGTAGTTTGTGTGTCTCCAGACCAGTGATAAATCCGAAAGAGGTTTCCAATTAGACGCATGTCAAGATTTTCTTATTATAATCATTTATAAATAATAATTTTAAAAAATTACTTTGAGCAAAGGAAACAAGACTGGCTGAGTTTTGTTGTATTTGTACAGTTATTAATGTTCTTGATTCTTTTTTTGGCTGTCTGAACTTTGTACAACTAAATTACTAAGTCTCAGCTACTAGACAACTACATCTCTCACATCTGACAACACCTTGCAAATCTCAGGGCCGACAATGTCACATGAGGCACTCTCCTTTGGAAGTCTTCCAGGCAGGGATTTGTGCACCACTATTGTTTTTAAGTGATGAATTCAGCTTGAGAGTGAATGAATGAATAAAAGCAATGTGATCTAACCTAAACCTAGCAGTTGTTTGGCAGCTGCCTCAACTTCATTTTAAATAATTCACCAGAAGATGCGAGATCACACACATTATTTTTCTCTTCATGCTATAATGCTGTTTGATTCTTTTATGTATTGTCACCATTCAAGAGTTCATTTAGGTGCTCAAAGTGTCTGCTGTCAAACAAAACTTATCAGTTTACACAGTCATTTTTGTCCAATAAAAAATCTGAAACTTTGTTGGCTCTTTCATGCAGTGTGCTCAGTTTTGAAACTTTTTCTAGTTGACAAATACATTGGTATTGTTGAATGAAAACCTTGTATTGCCAAACCCTTTTAAAGGATTATTATTCATGCTTACATTCATAAGGAAAATGTTTAGATACAATAAATGAGCTTCAATGAATCAAGAAGCCTTTATCTTGTTTCCATATTTTATTTTTTTGTTTGTTTGTTTGTTTGTTTGTTTGTTTATTTTATTGCTTGTTGGATTAGTTGATTTTGATTATTGTTCAAAAATGTATTAAAAATGTACAGAACCAGGTAGGGCATGCATCTGTTTTATCCTACAAATCAGCTGCCAAATAAAACAGTGAACAGTGAAAGTGACAGGCCGGCGACTTGCTGATGTAGCCTTTTGCATTTCTGAGCTCGTGATGAGGTCTGACAAAAACAGAAAATCTGACGTACAATTTTACACAGGCGGGAGTTTAGATATCAGGCACTAGCAGATCTGGGAAATGCGCTATCTCCTTCCCCAGTGCGCCAACACGGTGTGATAACATCTAGCAGAGACCGCCTATCGCCGCAGATTAGAACCATTAGTGATCCTTGTCCTTTCCAACGAAATGAGGAATAATGCCGGTGCACAACATTAATCTATGTGAAAAGCTTGTGTTCGGCATGTTCATCTGTCCTCTCCGCATACTGCAGGGACAGGCCTGCTGATCATTTCTCATCTGCCACTGATGCAGTCTTATGCTCCCACACAAGGCAGCCTTTTGCAAAGGAAATCATTTATTCATATGATATCATCATTGACCCTATGCAGGCTATCCTTGACAGAGAAGCTGGTTAAGAAAAAAAAATAAAATGATTATTATTGTTGTAATGGTGGAGGGTGGATTGTTCCTATTTGTTTTTATTTATTCTTTAAAGATAAAATTTCTCAAAGTAAATCGACAGCTCTTCAGGCTGTAGCATCATCGTGAGACATCTTTGAAAAAACTTCCCTTGACCCCACCATTTTTATTTTTCTGTGATTTTTTACAAAAATAGAATCTGCCTTTACAAGATATATTTCTTGTGGAACTTGCATCATGTGTTATTATAGCCAGTTTTGTCTTTTTATCGCGCTCTTCCCGGATACATTGATTTCTTTATGCAAAAGTTTAAAGGTTTAGAAGTGAGTCATATAGCCTACTCCTATACTCATCTCGGCCCTAATTTGACTTGTTAAATGTATTTCATTTCATTCTATTTCATTTTATTCTATTGTATTTTGTTGCATTTTATTTTATAATCATGCTATTTTACTTTCCTTCACACAACACTGAGGTCCATGTGGTGGAGTGAAATGAAAAGGCTGCTCATAGGTTTTTCCTGGAGCTGACGTCACGGGTGTCTTAATAGGCAATAGGCTGAGCTTTAAGAGGTGCGCTCATTACACCGTTTCTCTCAGACTGAGAGCTCATCAGAGGGAAAATGGGACACAAATGACAAGGCTGAGCGCGCTGACAGCATTCCTCGTTATTTTTCGCCACTTTAGACACCACTCAGGATAAATCGTACAGCAGTGAGTTGATGTAAGAATCCCTAAAGGGTAGGCTATTTTTTTTTCTGTCTGTGCTTGCCCATAAAAATCGCACACTTTTGGATCATCTTGATGGGCCCGCTATGATCTCCAGTCTGTAATTTTGTTCCAGAAATGCTGTTTTTTCACCAGTTAGACCGCCTTTTGGAGCCGTTGGCCACATGTGGATTGTTGTCCCGCGGAACAGAAGAGTTACATTTAATCTCACGGATGGTGATGTAATTACTCAGATTGATTTGGATACGTTGGATTTCCTGGATCATACCCAAAGCAAGGCAACGTAGAGGAGACTGGGACGTTGGAGAAAGAAACAGTACATCTCCCACAACCTTTGGCTGGGAATAATTCCAGACAATGCTTCACTGTGCCAGCTGTGAAAAGCCTATTCTCGATAGGTTCTTGCTCAAAGTTTTGGACAGACCGTGGCACATCAAATGTGTCCAGTGCTGCGAATGTAAATGCACTTTGACAGAGAAGTGTTTTTCACGAGAAGGAAAACTGTATTGTAAGAATGACTTCTTTAGGTAAGCATCTAAAGTGTTTGTGGTTTATTGTTTTTTGTTTTGTTTTGTTTTTGTTTTTAGAGAAATTACAACTGTTGTCAAATTGAATAGCTTCCTCCAGGCAATAAAAATGAAGATACATAGAATTTGACAGTCCACGGTAAGTCCCAAAAACGAGATTTCGCTCAAAATGCTGGGCTGATGGGGCCTGTAGTAAAACTAGTGGACCATGTTCTGCACAGGGCTCAATAAACCCTCTTTGTTTACACCGTGGAGCCGTTGCCTATTCGGGAAAATGTCGCAGTCATTTTGTTTTCTTTTTGCTTTTCGGGTTTTTTTTTCTCGAGAATTTAATATAAATCTGAAAATTGTGGGAAAAAAAGTTTATTTAAGAATTAGTTTGAAAAACAGGCCAGAACACGCTGTTTCTTAGTATTATAGCAACCTATACAAACAGGGCTCAGCCTTGTGATTGCTATGATGGACTTACAATTGTACTTTTATTATATGCATATAATATGCCATATAGGCCTATTATCTTTTATTATACGTATTATACTGTATAGTTGCCTTCACACAATTAATTTGATTTTGACTATTTGAACTGAAGATACACTAAACAGAAGTTTTTTGGGGTTTTTTTTTTTGTGTGTGTGTTGGTGGCAGAATAGTTGTCAGTGCTGTAAACTCATAATAAATGTACATATCTAAACTTAAGTCTAAAAATGATTTATATATTTATTGTACTTAATGCTGACTGTTGCTCTCCCTCTTGAACAGGAGATTTGGGACCAAGTGTGACGGGTGCGCCCAGGGGATTTTACCCAGTGATCTGGTCCGCAGGGCCAAGAGCAAAGTGTTTCACCTGAACTGTTTCACCTGTGTGATGTGTAACAAACAGCTGTCCACCGGAGAGGAACTGTACATCCTGGATGAATTCAAGTTTGTCTGTAAAGAGGACTATCAGAACAATAACGGGAAAGACACAATCCTCCTCTCAGGTAATGATTATGCGTTAATCGAGCCAATCAGGCATGAGACATTTATTGTTTTTTATGTTGTCAAAAGGGGAGTGGAAATATGTTTTTTTTATTTTATTACATAAATGCTAGACATGTTCTTCCCCCTCTTCTTCTTCTTCTTCTTCTTCTTCTTCTTATTATTAGTATTATTATTTTTTTATTATTATTATTATTATCAAAAGCTTCAGTTCTTATCCATTATCAGAATATTATAAACACATTTCTAAGATAGATTTGCGGCTATATTCATAATCTGTTTTAAAAATGCCGCTGTTTTTCTGGAGGGTTTTGCGGGTATAAATTTGATTCCCAGATCCTGTAAATATTACGCGCCATGCTGAGCCAATACTATATCTTTTCCTCCTCACAGTCACGACGTGCAGCGACCCAAGTCTGTCTCCAGACTCCCAGGACCCGCAGGACGACGGGAAGGACTCAGAAACTGGACATTTATCTGATAAAGATGCGTGCAACAACGAAAATGACGAGCAGAGTGCCGTCGGGAAGCGACGCGGGCCTCGGACCACCATTAAAGCAAAGCAACTGGAGACCCTGAAAGCGGCGTTCGCGGCCACGCCGAAACCCACCAGGCACATCAGGGAGCAGCTGTCACGGGAGACCGGCCTCAGCATGAGAGTCATCCAGGTAAAAAGGCAAAGGAAGGGGAAAAAGTAAACGAAAAAAAATGTTTTGGAGCATAATATGGGGGCATTTACATCCATTATCGGACACCTCTGTCCCATCCGAGTCTGGAGGGCAGAGTTCTAACAGGTCGGTGTCTCTGTTGCTAACAGACAATGGATGATACAAAACATCTTAAAAACCTTCTACACAATTGTGGCTGAAGGCGCTTTGGCGTTTTTGGACAGCGCGTTATGCAGACACCTTTAGGGAATCCGTCCTTAATGCTCTGTTGATTTTTTCCCATTCTTCTCTTTGTTCAGATAGGGGTTCCAATCCGATTTTTCTATAATCTTTACTCCCATTGCGCCCCTAAAACCCTTAAAAGCAGGACTCACTTTGCGCTGATGTCCATGGACATTTTTAAAAAGCTCCCTTGGTGACATTACCTGGTGCATCGTTTTCGTCATCGAAATGCATTAAATGGGAATTGTGTTTCAGGGGGCTAAACAGGCATCAGTATACATGGCCAACATGTGATTTGTACACATTTAAAACCATTAATTCAAACACCATTTTCCTATATTTTTGACCTGAGCTGCATTTCCATTTTGTGGCAGGTGTCCACAAGTTAAGCGAGAAAAGTAAACAACAATCACATAACTCAGCAAAAGTGCAAGGTAATCTTTAAAAGGCACATACACTGCTTGCTCTCATTTCGATCTTTAAATTATCGAAATATAAGAAATGTTGCAGTGATGCCTTCATGGCCCTGCGAGGCATAAGCCGGTAGCCTATAGGATGACGTCTTTTCTTGTGTCTGCTCTGCTTTCCTGCTTGTATCATTCATGCTGCTCATCGTGTCCTGTTTGCGTCCCCTCCCCTCACTTTGACCTAAAGGTGTGGTTCCAGAATCGGAGGTCCAAAGAGAGACGCATGAAGCAGCTGAGCGCCCTGAGCGGCCGGAGACACGTGTTTTTCCGCGGCCAGAGGAGGATGAGAGCGCTGGGAGAGAGACTGGAACCAGAGGAGCTCGGACACTTCTCCTATTATGGAGGTGAGATATGTTTCAGGGGATGTAGAATTGATAATCCTATTCAAAGTTGATAGTCTTTTACTAGAATGTCAATAATTCATTCAGTTCATCTTCTATTGAACTTTTTTTCTTTACATGCTGATATACTGTTTGCACTAATCCAGACATGTGTATGAATGCAGATTATCCTGGTGAATACTATGGCTCAGGAGGGAATTATGAGTACTTTCAAGGCCCACCATCATCCCAGGCTCAGACTCCAGCAGACTTGGGCTTTGTGCCCTCCTCTGTCCCCGCTGGCACCCCATTAGGAGTCATAGACCACCACCATCCAGGGCACCACTGTCCTGGAGAGTTGCAGTGTTTCTCTGACACAGTATCCCATCATCCTGCGGACTCACCCAGCCCAGAGCCCAATATTGCGGGCTCAATGCACAGCATCTCCAGTGAGATGTGTGGCCCCGGCACGCCCTACACCACTGTGTCCCTCAGTGACAACGGATACACCAACCAGCTGTCACAACCCTCCTCAGAAATGAGCGAAGGCACTGTCTGGTAATCAGCAGACACCCAACTATAAGGCACACTTGGATTTTGAAGGCAAATCAATGCTTTTTTTGTTTATTATTTAAATGTACATTTATCTATTTATTTATTTATTTATTTATGTATTTATTTATTTAATTGCTTGCATTTCTGTTGAGCTCTATTTAACTATTTATAAATCTCTATATTTGTATGTTGGTATAATTGTTTATTGACTAGCCAATCAATAGATTGTTTTAAATAGTCCACGTGAATTTGACTCATTAATACGTTCACAATGCTGGGCTTCATTGATCAAGCAATAAACAAACACATTTATATGCTGCAGAAAGTGTTTTTTTCAGTGTTTACAAAACCTTTTCTGCCATATATTTGACATTATTGTACCTAAAATGTTAATGTGAAGGTGCATGAAAGCGTTTTTTTTTTAATCATCTTTCAGTGTGTTAGACAAACAGCACCCACCACCCATGAGTTCTTCATGTGTAATACAAGATTTTATCATTTAATAACAGATTATGATTGTGATGTTCAATACATTTGACCAAAAACCTCTCTCAGGACCGTGGAAACATTGTTTTTGTTTATTTTTATTTGTCAGGCATTTCATTTTCATTATGTTATTGCCAACACGTTTGCCTTCAAAAGGATATCTTTATAAATCTGAAAATTTTATATGTAACAGAAAATGATTTGAGTTTACCATGACAAGAGTCAAACGGTATATATAGAATAATGGACAACTGTACAGAACAGTCAACTGTTTACTTAAAGCTCCAGTATTCAGGGGTTTGAATATCAGCATTGTGTAAAACCTCTTGATTCCGACAGACAGACCATTTAATGCAAACAAACCAAACTTTTGTAGCTGTTCTATTTATGTGGTGACTCACTGTGCTAGTTTGTACTATGTCCTCATTAAGAATACAGAAAATGCTAATAAACGGTTGCCAAATGAATGCACAGCAGAACCCTGCAACTTCAGTTGTGAGACGCAGCACTTTTAAAAGTGTTGGATGTTTGTAGTAAAAACAGTTAGCCAAACAGCCAAGGCACAATGGTTTTGTCCTTATGGATCAAAATGTCCAGTTATTTACATTGATGGTCCCATACACTGCCAGCAGCAGCAATGTTTTTTTTTTTTACAGGAGATATAAATGATTGTTCCAGTTAAGTTTATGAGACAGATGTTTACGACCATTCACTGTATAATAAAACACATACCGAACATTGTTATTTGTTCATCTCTTTGGAGGGAAATAGTACTTGTTCTTTCAAGTATGACTGATTCGTGATTTTGTAAGTATAATAAACAGGGATTTGTTAAGAGACACTTTATATATTGGACATATTTTTTTTTACGGGCTAAAATTATTATATAAGGGGATCCTTTAAGGAAACAAATATTTCCAGACCTGTGTTAACTTTAATGAATAACCCTCATATATCATCCTGCTCTCAAATCTGATTAAACCAGTGGCTGTACTTTGTTATCTAAATCAATATACATAGATACTGACATATAATTACACTTAACATTACTGCATTGAGTGAAGTTTAACTTCTTCATGTTTTTATAGACAAAACATTTAGAACACGCTCTGTATATGTGTCCAGGTCAGTTTGAATGGGAAAGGCATTGTCTGAGAGACACACACAACAACCTATCATTATAATGACAACTTATTGGAGCTGCATTTAGAGAGAAAATTTCATACCTCAAAATCTAATTTATAAATATAAATATTTTGATGCTTTTTCTGGGTTGACTTTGTGAAACCATTCAGGGCTATGAGCTGCTAAATTTACAGCTTTTTCTGACCTATTCTTAATTGCTGTAACAATGAGTATTTTCTATTGCTACAGCTTACTAAATGATTTATGGTTTATTATCCAGAACTCGAATATTATGAACATCTTGACAAGGAGATTTAGAGTTAAGACTTTTAAATAACATTTTATACACAGATTTGCAGGTTCTTGGCAAGGAGATTTAAGACTTTAAATGAATTTTTTGGAGAGGCTTGCAGGTTCTCCTCTACGTTCTCCATCTGCTGCAGCTCAGTCAACAAAACTACAGCTGCTCATTGTTACTGACAGTGTTTGCTAATCCAGACAAAACATCTAGCTAGCAATCAATACACTTTCAAATCCAAGAGCAATTGGTCAGCATTCTTTTCAGATCACTTTGCAAATGTTAGTGAGCTGCTTAGTTTATAAAGTGGCTAGTGTCTGCTCTGTACTGTGAGAGAAGAACACACAACACCACTGAAGTTTAGACCTAAACTCTGTTTGAACCTGTTGGTCACGGCTTGAAATGTATTCCATTGCTGTCTTCTTGACTTATTAAAATGAGTTTATGCTCTCACCAAACACCAAAAGCAAACACAAACAAATCTGTTAGCACAAGATGCATTTCAGAGAGAAATTGCTTAATTAGAACATTACCAATGCATATAACATACTGTATGTGTGTGTGTGCCTGTGTGTTTTTTATGTTACACAGGAGTTTCTTTATATATTAGGGAACTGTCCATTTGATGCACATTTTCTGATTATTTTGGAAGCAATGCTGCAGGGACACATTTGGATATGAAAATAATCTGAATAAGTCAATCTTGTCTGAAATGTTAAGTCATACTTTAAGGCGTCTGTGATAATATTGAAGAAGATGACAGAGGAATACGAACCACTGAGCAGTGAAGCAGGAGGCTGAAGGAGCAAATCAGAGGAGCTGTTTGGGGGAGGGGCAGGAGAAGGCAAGGAGAACATGGATGTGGCTCTGTAATTTCTCCCTTAGGTTTCTGTGGGATGTTTTTAAGATTCACTTTGGATTTCACATCTCATCAGTTGGTCACAAAATCTAAGGCAAGCAACGTGATACCAATCAACATAACCCAAAGCAATACATTTTTGTAAGCCTTAACACTCATGTAAACAGGTAATCTTTAAAAAAGCTCAGGCACTGTAGTTTTTAGCAACTGGGAGTAAATAGAGCATTTGTTTGGGACTAGTTTCATTTGCAGATTGAATGTGTTAGTGAGTACTCGGCAGCAGGACCAGTGGTGGAAGAAGTACTCAGATTGTATCCATAAGTAATTCAAGTAGCAATACCACAGTGTAAAAATACTCTGTTACATAAAAGTCTGAATTCATCAAAATATAGTTAAAGTGTGTAGGATTTAGTCGCAACTAGTGGTGAGGCTGCAGATTGCAACCAACTGATAACCCCTCCCCTCACCCTCCCCTTTCAAACATGTATGAGAAACTACAGTGGCCACGAAACTGGCAAGATATGCAAAAGGCCCTCTCTAGAGCCAGTGTTTGGTTTGTTTGTTCTGGGCTACCGTAGAAACAGGACAGTTCAACATGGTTTACTCGAAGTGGACCTGCTCCCTCTGTAGATATAAAGGGCTCATTGTAAACTAACGAAAATGCAACGATTCCTTTTTTTAAAGCGATTATACAAAACATCCCAATAAATATTATATTCCATTTCTGAAAGTATTTCTGCTAATAGATCTACCTAAATCTTACAAACTGGTCCTTTAAGGTACCAAAAGTAAAAGTAGCAGAATGGCCTACTATGTAAGCATCACTAATGCTGTAGTTGGTTATGGTCGAGCAAATGTTATTTATATACTGCCAGGTAGCTTAATGTATAATAATATATCATAATTTATTAGTTGATTGTTGTTGAATATAGTTATATTTTGTATTAATCTGAATTTCTCTCTGTACAGTACTTGAGGAAAAGTACTTAGCCCGTAAGTCAATTCAAATGGTTTTGGTCTTTTCATGTGATTTGTTGACAGCAAGTAAAATTTATGACTTAAAATCACAATGTTTTTTGACGGATAAATTAGAGCTTTCTGAATATAGTCGTCAGATACAGATTTCTGGGGCCAGCTGCTAATGGAGGAACACTTGAGACACTTCTACATTTCATCAGCTGCTGGTTGCTTTAATGGCAGGATGACTATGGTGATTTATTGTCACTTATGGGTAGGTGCAGAAAGGCGGCCAGGTAGACTGGTAAAAAAAAAAAAAAATTAAAAAATCCAAATAAGGAAACAACCAGGAACCAAACCAGGAAACAAAGTAGCCAAAGCAATGTATCCAGAGACACGATCAAAAGTGAACTATCCACAGATAAGACCAAAATGAACATCCAAAGAAACAAGGGAACACAAAGACTAAATATACAGGTGAGGGGAAGGATAAGGAGACACAGGTGACAACAATCAAGGTGGGTCAAACTGTCACAATTGGTGGGAAAAAGACAAAGACAGGAAGTAAAGTAGAACAAGACAAACTACAAAATAAAACAGGAAATAACCAAAGAAAACCTCAAACTATGACATTTGACTCTACATGACTACGTTTCATCAACCTATCAATCCTAGCAGAGAAGTATATATATAACTATTTTATTTTAAAATAACAGTTCCCATGAGGAAAAGCAGGTGTCAAATACTGAGTGAACCTATGATGGTCAGTTATGATGCTGATCCTACTGGAACTGTAGGAATCAAAGTGGCACTGACAAAGAGTGACTTTTAATCACTTTCACTTTCCAGAGTAGATGTAGTTGTTTGGCAGCCACCTCCAGTTCTCACAGAGAGTGGAATCATGTTATAGAGTCATTTCTGAGAGGAGCTTTTATGGGCAGTACAGTAAATTGTGGACACACACACTAACAGTCTGCTTTCCTCTTACTGTACAGTTATCGTCAAAATTTGAAAAAAGACAACCACACCTCAAGGCTGTTTGGCTGCAGTGGTCATGCTTAACTTACTGTAAACAGCTGAACTAGCTATTTAAAATCCTACAGTAAGATTACAAATGTTAATTCACTGGGCCCTGGTGTTTAACACATCCAGCATGTGGAGGCACTCCCAACTTTTTTTTTTATCATCTTAAACTATTTAAGATAAGCCATTAAGTGACAGGTGCATGGAAAAGAGAAAACGAGGAAAGTCACAGTCAAAGGGGTCTTAAAATGCCAATTAAATACCAGTGATATCAAATATATAATTTGACAAATGCCAAAGATAAACAAGCATTATAGCTAAATTCTTGAATTAAATAAGTTCAAACAAAAATGAAAAGAAAAACAAACAAAATATTTGTAGATACAAAAATATGTTTAATGTTTTAAACTGTTCACATTCTGTTAATTAAAGCCTAAAGCCTACAATGTTTAAATGGAGATAATGTTATGCTGTTAATCAAACTAATCCCTGTTTATCTGAACAAAATGCCATGATTAAGAGAGAGATTTGCAAGTCAAACAGGAGGCCAGCAAATCAATTTAAATCAGCTGACAGTGATTATGGCGACTGTTGGATAAACCATGCACAGTAATGGTTATTTGTCCTCTGAGGAGAGATCTGTACATAGCTTTTTTAAATATATTTTCTTTATTTTATAACCATTATCCGGAACTGAACAGATACATTTTAGTCAGGTGAGTGCTAAACAGCTGACTACTGCTGGTGGTCAGATGGACTCTTTGACTTCTACTATGGCCTGACACTTGGTTAGATGCCTGCAGTTAGGCTCTTTATTTTCCTTCACAAAACAAGACACTGTTCTTAGGCAGAGTCGGCTCATACTGCTGGACCATTTACCAAAAAGAAAAAACAAACACTTTTTTGCATTCTGTTGGTTTAAAAGTCATTTTTGCTCAATGGGTTTGGAACAGTGAGCATAATACATAAAATCACTTTGTATGAAGACTTTCCATGACCTTTTATCACTCCTCCATCCTAATGTAGTGTGGAAAAATGACAACTATCTTACTGAACCAAGTCCATTATGGCACGACACTAATGGACTTCGCAACTGAAAAAAGTCCCCAACCTTTACAAGGTTGGGGACATAAAACCAGAGATAAGTACATCTTGAATGTAAGCAAGTACAGTTAAACACTACAGTAGGACAAATGACTGGATAATACTGTATTGTGATTTGAGATAGAAATCTTTTTCATTTTCTAAAATAAATCGTATTTGATTGACTTAGATTTAGCCTTTTCGTCGTTTCTGTTTCCTTTTAGTCACTTGCACAATCTGGCCCAATTCGCTAATTTTACTCTTTCTTTACTTTTTGCTCTAGGCTTGGTAGTCCACTTTCTGCATGAAAATCATTCACACATACAATTTTATAATCAATGCCCACAGTAATAGGATTCCTCTGGCCATGGGCAATTAATACAGTTTTTCCCTTTT